TCACCGGGGAGATGGTGGACGGCCGCGCCGTGACCGTCGCCGAGCTCGAGGCGCTCTGCACCTCCGTGCAGCTTTGCCAGCGCCTCGTCGACACCCCGACGTGCATCCTCGACACTGTCGTCTTCGCGGAGATCGCGCAGGCTTACGCACGTGAGCTCGGCGCGGGCGTCGAGTTGATTAAAGGTGAGGAGCTCCGCGAGCGGGGGTATGGTGGGATCTACTCCGTCGGCCGCGGCGCGGAGTTCCCGCCGCACCTCCTCACGCTGCACTACGTCAACAACGCCGCGGATGCCGCCGCGAAGAACATTGCCCTTGTTGGCAAGGGTATCGTCTATGACTGCGGCGGTCTCGCGATCAAACCGGCCACGGGTATGGTGAATATGAAGACCGATATGGCAGGCGCCGCGTCGGTCCTTTGCGGGTTTATCGCCGTCGTGCGAGGTATGAAGATACAGCCGGATCGCTACAAACACGTCCGTCACCTCAGCGTCACGCTCTGCTTGGCGGAGAACGCGATTAGCGCGGGGAGCTATCGCAACGGCGATATTGTTTTTCTGAAGTCCGGCAAGTCTGTGGAGGTGATCAACACAGACGCCGAGGGGCGTATCGTGCTCGGGGATGGAGTGTACTACGCGAGCGGCGAACAGAGCTTCGTGCCGGATATTTTGATCGATATGGCCACCCTCACCGGCGCGCAGGGCATCGCCACAGGGACAAATCACGCCGCGCTCTACGTCAGCGACGCGGACGTCGAGCAGGCCCTTCTAAAGGCCGGCCGGCTGTGCGGGGATACGTGTTTCCCTGTCCTCTACAGCCCGGAGCACCACAAGCCGCAGTTCAAGAGCAAATTCGCGGATATGACAAACTTGATGCCGAAGGGCACCGACGGCGGAGTCTCATGCGGTGGCTATTTTGTGGAAAGCCACCTTAGCGAGAAGTTTACCGGTGCCTTCGCCCATGTTGATTTGGCGTTTCCTTCCTCTAACGACAACGGCGCTACAGGGTTTGGAGTAAATCTCATCGCGGAGTATCTTAGGATGTTGTAAGGATATTCTTTGCTCCCTTTATCGACTTTTTCCTACTGAAGGTTGGAAATCAACCCTGTGGGGTGTGAGCTTCTCTTCCACGCCTCACCATTTTCCATATGTTCTCGTTTTAGGGTAACCAAAGAACCCTCCTCACGTGAATCCCATTGATTAGTAAGCGATTATGAGAAAAAAATGAGAGCAGCAGACAAGTTAAAGAAAATTATAATCTTCTCCGGTCTCTTTACGGTTCGTTTTTGTTGTATCAAATAAAAATTTCTTTTGATTGTGAGAAAATGTTTAAGCGTAACGAATTATGATGATGAGTCCATAAGCAAGTGAAGAAAAATATTACAAAATCATATTCATATGCCGAGACTCACCCTATTATCATGATGATCAATATTATAATTATTACCAATATTATTATTATTACTATTATTATTATTTTCCTCTCTTGCAGGCAACAATTTCGTTATCAATAATCTAATTATATATTTGATAAGATATAGCGCATAAGTTGATTAGACTCCTGAATGGGAAAATAGAGTAGCAGAGTGGGTCATTCTTCTGAGATATTATTACGACTATTGTTATTATTTAAACTTCTTTCCGTTATTTCCGACCTTCATGTTTTTAATCGTGAAGCAAGTAGTTCTTTCTACTTCTATGATAAAAAGAACTACATTTCCAGTCTCTGGTATTCTTTTCTCAAGTGAATCAACCTTTCTTCTGCTTTTTGTTTTTTCTTCCTTTAGAAGAGGTATTGCAAAAAAAAAAGGGTTAGAATTAAGTTTTGCATCCAATGAGAATAATAGAGGGGTGAAACATTTACAATTCTCAGCAAATAGTGTATGCACGGGCTTAATATCATCACGCAATGGACATCATTTATGCTCTTTCTCAGATGAGTGGTCATGCTCAGGGAACCAAATTCGCAAGGGCTGAACAAGCTAATAGAGGGGAGGTATCGCCAAGTGTTAAAAAACGAAGGCGCGATGAGTCGGCTTCGGAATCTCCGTCGTCCTGCTCGAAGAGCGTGCTAGGGTACTTGTGTTGGCGCTACACTCGCGCGCTAAAGGCACTCGATCGGCAGGATGACTCTACTCATGATCAGCTAACGAGCTCGAGGGGCGGTAGTACACGTTTAGCTCCTTTTTCGAAAGGAGAGGTTTTTAGGGCGGCGATAGCGCTTCGTCTCCTCGCGGCTGGAGCACGGCAACATCCTGTGTTACGGAATTGGCTGTGGTCAGTGGTAGCGGGGCTGCCAGAGGGGGCGAGTTGTGTTGCCATGACGTTGCGCGTTGTGCGATCGCAGGAGACATTGTTGCTGGACGAATGGGCACGCGAGGCCGCTGGCGTGGAGAGACTTACAACGGTCCATGGCGTTGAGGCGGGAAAAGACGGGGATACACTCTTCGTGGCGGCGGGAAACGTCTGGCTATCACGCGTTCTGGCAAAATTAGACGAATTGTGCCTGCAATTTCTTTCTGTAGCCTTTCCATTTCCACCTCACCCTTCTATTGGGCAACCTCCTCATCCACAGGGTGGTAATTTCGATCACCAATCATCCGAGGCGACCGCTTCTTCCTTTTCCATCGATGAGTTTGCGGAGTCCCTTTTTAGTGCCTTAGACCCTGCCGACGCCCTGCGTGAGCTCCCACCCCTGCTCTCCGTCTATGCCTTACTAAGAAGCCCATCCAAACGTTACCTCTTCGTGAATACTCTTTTGTGCAATCCATCCGACGGACTGGCTTCGTCCACCGGAGGCAGTAGCCCCATCCCCTCTGCGGAGGAGGCCGACGGTGGTGTTGGGTGTTCGTCCGCGTTCGACCCCTGCGGGTTGCTCTCGCCGTGGGCGTATGCCTGGTTAATGCCTTTATGGAGTCCCAGCGAGGATCGGACCGGGAGGGGGTCGTCCTCATCTACTCCAAGAGGGGAGGCCAAGCTGATTGGTTGCCCGCCGGACGACGGAGGCTTGTCCTGGTTGTGCGCCTCCGCGGCGCTCCCTGCGGGCTATGAAAGGCGCCTTCATGAGCGTCTCACGCGGCCCCTCTGCGGGGGCGGGCGGTCCCTTTTTCCTCCCACACCACCTCCGGGTGGAGGCCACTCCACCCCCTCCTCCTCGGATCGGACGTCCATCGACGATGACGGCGGCTTCACGCCCGACGCGTACGCGCAGCTTCGGCGCCGGCCGTCGTACGAGGCCGCTCTCGGGGTGGCCGCGGTCCTCCTGGCGGAGCATCTTCAACAGACCAGTGTGGCCCTCAGCGCGGAGGACGCACTTTCCCCGAATAAACCACAAGCGGGTTCCTCTTCCAAGAAGGAAGAGGAAGGGAGGGGGGATCGTCTCTCCAGAGCAGCCTTTGCGGAAATAGGAGGGGAGGGGCCGGGTGGTGCATCCGGCCCCTCCCCTACCCCCACCCCACTTGAGCGCGTTTTGGCGATGATGCAGCTGGATGAAGGGGTGGTGTGTGGATCACCAGAGGGTCCAACGGAGACCTCCGCAGGGGATCCTCGCGGTGGGGGGCTTTTGCGGGTGTGCAACACGGCGTGGACGGCGCTGGTCGCGACGCTGGCGATTGGAGAGGGCATCCCGGGGCAGTTCGTGCGGATGTGTTTGGACCCCCTCGAGGTCTCGCTTCGAGGTTGTCCTCGTGAAACGGGAGGGACTTCGCCACGTGTGAAACTTTCGACCTTGCGTGATTACGTGAGGGAGGGCTCCTTACGCAACCGCAAGGCGCGGTCCGGTAAATCTTACCCGTCACACATCGTAACAGGCACCGTTGATACACGATCGAGCGCGGAGGCGCGAACCGCGGGCCGTATTCTCGTTGCGAGCCATTTCAATGAGACTGTTGATAGAGGTGGTGGAGCCAACGATGACATGCTTACATACCGAGTTATCTTTCCACCTCCCATGTTCCTTCTGCGCGTGGAGGACGTTGCTTTGTACACGCCCCATCTCCCCTTCGCGAGTTTGTCCGAAATGAAAGCGGCGATGGAAAGGCGTCGGGAAAAAGAGGCGTGTGCAGAGGGGATGGGGGACGCCCTTGGGTGGGTTTCTGACAGAGCTCAGCTTCAGCATAATTATTTCCCAAGGGATCCTTTCTCTGACTGTCCGCTGCGTTGCCGCTGTGTTTCTAGTTCGATGGCCACTGTGGTAGCTGTAGCCCTCCGCCATCCCCGGGTGGAGATGTTTCAGCTAGAGTGTATCTGGCAGCTGCTGTACTACCATCACTGCAACGATACTCATAAGACAGCTCAGCCTTGTGGGGCGGCCTTTCACGCCCAGAAAGGCCACATTCCTGTCAAACAAGTTGGCTTATCTATGGGGGGGAAAGATGTGGGTAGTGCGTCCGGAGGCCAGCACGATAACGGGCATAGGAGCGGGTTACATGGAAACGACTTAGCAGAAGGGGGAGGAAGGGCACGCTCTCGCTCCTCAGAGCGAGTACAACACGAGCGGGTAGAGGAGCTGGGGCGTCGTGTGCAACAAGTTTTTGACTGTTTTGCGTACAGCGCCCTTGCCGGAGTGCCGCCGTATATTACAAGGCAACAGGAAAGTAACAAAGAAGGGAACTCGATGAGGGATATGCGCTTGGATGGGAGTGGCGAAAAGTACAAGCCATCGACCGACTCGGTCCAAAAGACTCAGGCGCAAGAAACATCATCGGCTGCATTAAATGACGCTTGTGGGGCTCCACAAGAGACTCACCTGGGGGCATTGCAAGTGGTCTCTAGAAAAATTAAACTCAACTATCCTAGTGAGGGGGCACGACGTGTTTTGAAGCTTGAATTAGGAAGTAAAGAGACTAGACCAGATTCACCAACGCTCCCCGATCCACAGGATTTGACTCTCCAATCCAGGATACGAACCCTCGATTCCAAAGGAAATTTTCTTAATACCGCGGAGACAACACCTGTTGGAGTAAACAACAGGGATCTTTCGAAAAATAAAGAGGAATGGGGAATCGACGTGCAAACCGTGCTCCAGCTTGTGGCAGAACTGAGCGCTCCTTTAGAGGCTACAGGCCTTTCTACTTCCCTACAAAGCGTATTTGATGCCCTGTTGGTACCCCTGGAAGCGCTCTGGACTACTGGTACAGTTAGAGATATGAGTAGCTCTGCATTTATCTCAGAAAATACCGGGGGTTGTGATAAGAGACATTTCCTGTCCTCCGGTGATGGCCCCTTGACATCAAAGACCTCCGTATCAGTTCGGACGTCACTTTCACTTGCTTCCTCAACAAAACAATATGACAGCACTTGCGCGCATTTGCGAGAATCTAACCGCACGGAATGCACCCTGCAAGGGCAAGAGCGTCGCCAACTTTTGAGTCTTACCACTCCAGAATATGTAAAGCAGTTTCAAGATGTGTTGAGAAATTTCTTTCAACCACCAACTCTAGAACGCTTCTCCATTTCCTCTCCTAAGCCAGGCTGTTCTAATGCTAATCTATTAAACTTCAAGTGCGCGTCTTTGGCAGTGCGAAGCGCTATGAAAGCAACTGTGGGGACTATCCTTTGCTTTTGTATCTATCGTTTTCTACTACATTGTTACTTGCAGATCAGCTGCAGCTCTGAGGATGGAATTACTCCATGCGTTGGCAAGGAGTTCAAGGTGTCAGAGGACATCAGCATCGATAAGAGTTCATCGGATATCACTTTTTCAAGGCAAGAAGTCAAAAAAAACTATGGATATCTAGGAATATCAGGCGGTACATCGCTAACACAGACGAATATTTCTTTACAGAAGAAAATTTGTTTAGTTCTGCGACACGCTACATTAACTTTGAGACCCATTTTACAATCCTACAAAGAAGCCTGCTTGTCAATGAGCACGAATGAGGTTGAGGCGGTTAATAACTTTTATAGCGGTTCCGGATATAACATCAGGGAAAAGAGAAAAAATCAAGAGTGTTGTAAAATATTTTATATTCCTATATCATGCGTGCTGCTACCAAAAGTGTTAAGGGCCTATGAGACTATACTGAAGCCCATGATTCATAATACCGATAGGCCTGCTGTCTTAGAGTTATCAGAGTTAAAGGATATGCTTAGACAATACGGAGTAATTTTATAAAAACTAAAGAGGGAGAAGAAAAACATATCAAAGTGGAACCTGACATCGTGTGTCTTGACAGAGTCAAATTCAAATATTTGTATGATTGTGCCTGAAAACTCCTACACTATGATCAGAAAACGTAAGTGTCTAGCAAAGTAAGCTAGAGAAAGATGTTAATTCCAAAGATATGTTGACAGCCTTTAAACCACCTTGGGCATAAAGCTAAAATGTGGTAGAACAACGTAGAAAATCTAAAGCTCTTTGTTAACCGTTTTCTAAATTAAAGGATAGAAATGCATAGACAAAGGATCATGATTTCAAGAAGGAGTGATCGAGACCCTGGAAAAGTGTCAGGATAAACCTATCAATGAGGTGCGCCGATTCTTTATTCTCATGTTGGGCGCCTTCGGCTGCTGTTGTGCTTCGTTTAACTATGCTTTCAATTTGATTTCGAAGCCGATGCGGCAACGATATAATTTCACTGAGCGAGAGATGGGCACTATTATGACAGTGGGTCTTGTTTTAAAATATGTCTTGACTCCCTATGCCTACCTTTACGACCGTGTTGGAGTCCTCCCTATCACCGTGATCATGACATCTTACTTTGTTATCGGCACGGCCTGCCTTGCCCAATGCTTTGCTGGTAATATTTCGGGAAGTGTGTTGAAGTTGAGTGTCTTCAATGCCTTCCTGACTTGCGGTGGCTCTTTGTTCGACTTGGTGTGCTGTATGACAATACTGAACCATTTTCCCTCCAACAAAGGTGCCGCTGCTGCGTTCATCAAAGCGTTTACCGGTCTGGGATCGGCTCTGGCAGGGTCTTTGTATACGGCCTTCTTCATGAATCGCGCGGACCTGTACTTCTACTTCCTTATGACTTTCGCGGCTGTAGTAGGGACTTTTTTCATGATATTTGTACGGCAGCCACCATACTACATTATGCCCTATGAGCAGGATCGCCTATCGCCCGAGGAAATCAAGGCAAGGAAGGACTGTAAGACAGCTTACCTGAGGCAGAAGCCACCTGTTGCACGTTTTATCTATGGCTTCGTCATTATATTCTTTCTAATTGTGTATTTGCCCATATCAAGCACGTTAGTTCAGTACCGTCATCTGAGCCAACCGTACAAAACTGCGTTTGCCGTGGTTTCAATCGTCGCGTGGCTGATGGTCCCCCTCATCTCTGTTCCTTTTCCTGGTCTCAACGGTCCCAAGGCACTTCCCGGAGAGCAAGATCAACATAAATCTGGAAAAGTCGTGGAGACCAATAGCAGTGTGTTGCCCGAGGAAAGCAAGTATTATTTGGCTAAAGACACGTCTGTGAATGCTCTTACGCAACCTGACTTTCAGATTAACAATGCTACTGATGAACCTTCAGAGAAGGCAGAGCGCAGCGCACCGGAGACAGACATGGACTACATAGCGCCGCAGTACCAGCACCGGTTTGTGCGCAACCTGACGACGCTGGAGCTGTGGGGACTGTGGTGGACTATGTTTTGCTGCATTGGAGCTCAGTTCATCGTTATCTTCAACGCGAGTCAAATTTACGCGGCACTCTCAGGCAAGGAGCCCAGCGACGCTTTGCGGGCGATGCTAACGGTCTTCAATGGCGTGGGTGGTGCTGTGGGCCGTCTGCTAATGGCATACTTTGAGATCTGGTCCCAGAAGCGGAAGGCGGAGGACCGCGTTCCAATTACCATTTCGCTATTCTTCCCCGTGGTGCCCACCATATTGACGTTTGTCTTGTTTCTGATACTTCCAGTTAGTGCACTGCCACTGCCCTACGTAGTGGTCGCACTGTCAAACGGATTTTCCGTCGCCGTTTGCGTGCTCCTGACGCGAACCATTTATGCGAGGGACTCGGCTCTGCATTACAACTTCTGCTTCATCGCGGTGGGAGCGTCATCGGTTGTTTTTAATCGTTTTCTATACGCGGAGTGGTACGCATACCAGACTGAGAAGCGTGGCAATTCCTCTGTATGCTTCGACAAGGCGTGCGTGTTGATGCCGATGATTGTGCTGATTGCACTAGGTTGCAGTGCGTTGCTGTCAAGTTTTGTTGTGCACATCCGCTACCGAACTTTCTATATCCATGCTCTGAAGGAACGCGCGCGTATACGCATGGCCGCAATGGAGGATGCTGGCCAACGACGACCAGACCAGGTGAATGATGCATTGGTGCATCGCGATGTGTGAGCAGTGTAGTAAAACGTATATGGGGGGTTCTGGAAGTGGGGTGCGCTCACGTGTGAGCTCGCGATGAGCACTATGGATTCTGGGGTCAGGAAACAATGCAACCAGAAATCGCATTGCTGCTTCATATGCCGTGCTTTTGGAAGATGATTCGGAGGTACCTGAGCAGCACTCCATGGAGTGCCTCCATTCTGCACACGCCTGTGCTAAATGTGAAAGAATACGATGAATTTGAAAGAGTGATACATAATAAAATGTGGTTGAGTGTACGCCTGACGATAGGCTGCTAGTGATAATAAGAATAAAACTTTAAAGGACACTAAAAAACAATACGTGTTTTTTAGTTTATTTCTTTCTATAATACTTTCTAAAAGGTGTTGCTTGTGTTGTATTTCAGTTCATTATATAT